TACAACTGAAAATAGATTCTTTTTGGATAAGAAAATCAACACAAAATGCATTATTATTATAATCAAGTTTTAAGTATTCAATTCTATAATACTGTAAATGCATCTTTTTTCACATCAATGCTTCACAACGGATCAATGCATGTTTACACTCTCAATACTGGTTATGACTGACATATGACTCTGATCATATTTACCTTTCACTGCAGGTTTGGAAGAGATTTGACTCGCTACAGATGAGTTTTCAGGAATATTCTGCGGAATGGCTGTTGTCCAACCTGGAATACAGACAATATTTAAGAGCATTTACAATAGATGTACACTACAAGTTTGGGGTCAATTTTTTTTTTCATTTATTACTTTATTTACTTTTAATTTATTCATTCAGCAAGGACACATTAAATGATGGAATCCCATTTTCACCACAGAATAAAAAAGGTTAATTGCAAATTGTTCATCACACAATTCAGACTTTTTTTTTTTCCAATTTAAAGTCAGAATTGCAAGATGTAAACTCTGTCTAAATTCTGTGATGGAAATGGGCTTCCATGTTAAATTGACTGAAAGTGACAGTATTGAAATTTAGAATGCTACAAAAGATTTCAAATAAACGCGGTTCTTTTGAACATTCTATTCATAAAAGAATCCTGAAAAAAACCTATCAAGTTTCCACATATATATGAAGCAGCACAATTGTTTTCAACATTAATAATGCGAAATGTTTCTTGAGCAGCAAATCGGCATATCAGCATGATTTCTGAAGGATCATGTGACACTGAAGACTGGAGTAATGATGCTGAAAATTCAGCTTTGCATCACAGGAATAAATTACTTTTTAAAATATATTTAAATATAAAACAGTTATTTTAAATTGTAATTATATTTCACAATTTTTCTTTTTGACTATTTTTGATCAAATAAATGCAGTCTTTCAAATTTTGAAGCCTTTCTACTTTTAAGAATATTTTCAAAAACATTCAAAAAAATCTTACCAACCCAACCTTTGAACACTATCGTGTATAGTTTGTTCCATAATGATCTATTTTTGTTGCATCATAGAAGATACAGATTCCATTCTCTCCCTGTCTAAGTGGAGAGTTCTCAAGCAGACTTTCTGGTAAGATGTTTCTGCTGACCTGAGACTGTGGACTGCAGGCCGTTCGTGTTCCAGTCGAGTAGTTTGGAAGGCAGAAAGAAAGCGGGCTCCTCCTCGGACAGCTGCGTCTCTGCTCTGCTACCGCCGGCCGGATCTTCATCCCCAAACACCTCGAGCCATTCCTGTGAGAAACCCTCGTCCTCCAGAGAACTGCTGCCCAGAATCTCATTCAACAAACTCAAGTCATCCTTCTCCTGACCGCCGGAGAAAGCGTCATCATTTCCTGTAAATACAGGATGAACTTCTCTTCATCTGTGGATAAAACTCATTCAGCTTTCATGAAAGCTTTACCTGTTTGCATGCGGTTACTGCTCAGAGCTTCTTCTTCAATTGAAATAAGCCTGAAAGAGAAGATATGATATGAGCGATTAGAGGTTTATACACGTCAGACTACAATAAATGAGGACAGAACAGCTCCTACGTTTCATCTGTATTCTGACTCGTCTCCTCATCTTCTGCTTTTGCCTTCGTTTTCTTCTTCACTTTTTTCTTTGCAGCTTGATCTGAACCCTGGAGTATCAGACACAACAGATTTGTTGGACGTGCATCATAATATCACTGCTTGTGTGTCTAAATGATGAAAGATGGGTGAGTGTTTAATAAATGTAAGAGTTATTATTTTATCACAGGTCTGAAACAAAAGCCTATTTTGGGATGATTAATCAATAAGCAGCAGGTTCCTGTTGTGACAACTTGCCCCATATCATGTGAAGACATTTATCTACTATTGACAATATCAAGAGGATATTCTACTTGAGAACTGAGACATCCAAACCTCGCTCTGTAGCACACACAACTATTCAAAAGTGTGGGGTTGCGGAGTCTCTTATTCTGACCAAGCATACGTTTATTGGATCGAAAATATCGTAAAAACTGTGAAATATTATTACGATTTAAAATAACTGTTTACTAGTTTTATATGTTTTCAAATATAATTTATTTCTGTGACGTAAAGTCGAATTTTCAGCATTACTACTCCAGTCTTCAGTGTCACGTGATTTTTCAGAAATCATTCTAATATGCGGAATTGATGCTTAAGAAACAATTATTCTTATCAATGATGAAAATATTTGTGCTGCTTTATATTTTTGTTGAAAACTATGATAGTTCAAAAGAACATTTATTTAAAAGAAAAATCTTTTGTAACATAATAAGTCATTTTTGATGTAATGCATCCTTACTGAATAACAGTAATTAAAAAAAAAAAATCTTACTGACCCCGAACATTTGAAGTGTATTTTTTTCCCCAAAATATGCTATGCTAAATAAATAATTAAGTAAATGTAAATACAAAATGTAAGAATCATCTTTCTTTTAAACTAAAAACATCAGAAACAAATCCAAATCTCACTGAAAAATGAAACTTATTTTATAGTTTTAACACAAAATGAGATTTAAGCACGTACGCATATTCATATGAATAAATATGAATATCACCAAAGATCTATATAATGAGATTCATTTCTTCTGAAAGCGCTCACCCCCAGCGCTGAAGCCTCATGAGTCTGGCAGCCTTTGAAGCTCTCATGAATAGCAGCCATAGTGTGAGAGGTTTTCTTCCAGAAATGTAGCAATGTGGTCTGAAATAGAAGAAAAGACAGATATTTATCCTCATGACACGTCGTTCTGTAAGGCTTTATTCTGCTAAATTGTGAGATATAACCGCCTTTAACAATTAATTTAGATAATAATAATAAATAATAATAATA